GGTTAAACCCTCCCAGGTAACACTAGCAAATCTCCCCGCGAGGATATTGGAACCCCTCAGGTTCAAGTGCACCCCATCCCTCTTGTACAGGTCACCTCTATTCCAAAAGAGATCCTAATGACCCAAGAACTGAAAACTTTGCCCCTTATGAAAACTTTGCCCCCTATGCCAGCTCCTCAGCCATGCATTCATCTGGCCTATCTTTCTATTTCTATCCTCACTGATGCGTGGCACTGGGAGTAATCCAGAGATCAGTACCCTTGAGGTCCTGCTTTTTAACTTTGTACCTAACTCCCTAGATTCATTTCACAGGACCCCATTCCTTTGTCTATCTATGTCATTTGTACCGATGTGCACAATGACCTCTGGATGGTCACCCTCCCCCTTCAGAATGTTCTGCAACCGCTCAGAAAAATCCTTGACCCTGGCACCCGGGAGACAACACACCATCCTGGTGTGTCTTCTGCGGCCACAGAATCTCCTGTCTGTCCCCTTCACAACTGAGTCTCCTATCACTATCGCTCTGTCTGACTGTACCCTTTCCCTCTAAGCCTCAGAGCCACCGACCTGGCTGCTGCTGCTAGCCCCTGAAAGGTCACACCCCCACCCCCAACCCCGCCCAATCTCATCAGTATCCAGACTGGTATATCTGTTATTGAGGGGAATGGCCACAGGGGAACCCTGCACTATCTGCCATCCCCCTTTACCTCTTCTAGTGGTCACCCAGTTAGAACATACAACAGTACAGCACAGTACATGCCCTTCGGCCCATGATGTTGTGCCAAACTTTTACCCTAAACCTAAGGTCTATCTAACCACCGCCCCTACCTTAAACTATTATCCATATGCCTATCTAATAGCTGCTTAAATACCCCTAATGAGGCCGACTCCACAATGCATTCCACGCCCCTACCACTCTCTAAGTGAAGAACCTATCTCTACCAGTTACCTGCAGCCTGCACCTTAGGAGTGACCACTTCACTATAGTTCTTATCAGTAATGTTCTCTGTATCCCGGATGATCCTGAGTCCATCCAGCTCCCATTCCCTGATGCGGTCTGTCAGGAGCTGCAGCCGGGTGCATGTCTCACAGGTGTAGCCACCAGGGAATATGGAAGTCTCCCTGATCTCCCACATCCTGCAAGAGGAGCATGCCACTGCCCTAACTGCCGTCCCTACTGCCTTCAGTCTATACAGAAAGAGAGTTAAAGAGCCCTTACCTGCTCTTACCTGTTTCCCTGTTCAGCCTCCTCATGCCAAAACATCTCAAACAAAGGCCTCAGCACTTCCACTCTAACACTGGCTCATTCTCTTTAATGGCTGCTCCCTTATACATCCTTACCTTCCCAGTTGTCCTCACAGAGTCTTTTTTTTTGGTCAGAGAAGGAGGGAGAGTGGGAAACCCAATGTAGTGTTTCAGGTTTAACTATGTGTTGTAACTATACCAGAACAGCTTGGCTTGGGGAGCGGTCTTTGGCACAGTTTCTGGAATATTGCCAAGATCCAGAGCCTTTTGTATCCAGTGTCTCCAACCGTTTCTTAATATTTCAGAATCGCAGAATTCTACTGTGCTGAAGGAGGCTATTCGGCCCATCCTGTCTGTAGCATCATTACCTTGTGGCAAATTCCTTGCTTTATCTCCATATCTTGCACATTCTTTTTATCCAAATAACTATCCAACGCCCTTTTCAATGTCTTCTTTGAGCCTACCTGCACCACATTTCCAGGGAGCGTATTCCACACTCTTGCTTCATTCACACATCACTTTGAATATAACATTTTTGTTTCTTTTATGAGTGGGAACAGCTTTTCTCAGTCTACTCCATACAGCCCACTCAGGATTTTGCAAACCTTTTTCTTTATTCATAAACAGGATGTGGATATCACTGGCTGGGTCACATTCAGTGCCAATTCCTAATTGCCCACATGGCCAGTCACCCACATTGCTGTGGGTCTGGAGTCACATGTAGGCCAGACCAGGTGAGGGTGGCAGATTTCCTTCCTTCCCTGAAGGACATTAGTGTACCAGATGGGTTTTAACAACAGTCAATGATAGTTTCATGGTCACCATCACTGAGACTAGATTTCAATTCAAGATCGATTAGCTGAATTTAAATGTCACCAGCTGCAGGGTGGGATTCGAAACCATGTCCCCAGACTGTCAGCCTGTGCATCTATATTTTACTAACCCAGTGACATTCCCAACCTCACATGCCTACCTCCTGTAAGACCATAAAGTGTGAGAGCAGAGGTAGGCCATTCAGTCCATTGAGTCTGCTCTGTTCCTTCAATAAGATAATGGCTGATCTGAAAGTCCTCAGTTCCACTTTCCTGCATATTTCCATTACTCTGGATATCTTACTGATTAAAAATCTGTCTCTCTCAGCCTTAAATATACATAATGACCCATTTCACAGAAACACTTGTGCCTGAGAGAAGAAATTCCTTCTGCCCTCCCGCCCTCTCCAATCCCCTCTTTGCTGATTTGCAGATTGGTTGAGCCAGTGTGTCGTGTGAGGGTGCTGGCCTGTTGATTGATGACCCAGTGCCAGGCAAGCCTGTGAAACACCGAGTGGGTATATTGAATGGTTTTGTCCGCTGGCTCTGGGCCATCGCCACAGTCTGGGCTGTGTTCAGGGGATTACTGCTCCATGGAAACCTACATGAAAGCCGCAGGCCTGATGAAGATTTGATAACCATTGGATACTGTCACTGGTCAGCCCTACCTTGAAGAAGAACATTCTGTCATGATGCTGCGGTGAGATTTTATGGTGGATCCGGAATGCTGCATCGATGTGATCCGGTAATCCGGGCCAGGTTTTATTAATGAATTCAGCAGCAGCACGGAACCCTCTCCATAGAAATTCATCTGGAAAGGGACAGATAAACAAATAGTCTTTTATGAAATAACAAGGTGCAGGGCTGGATGAACACAGCAGGCCAAGCAGCATCAGAGGAGCAGGAAGGCTGACGTTTCGGGCCTAGACCCTTCATCAGAAAAGGGGGAGGGGAAGGGGGTTCTGAAATAAATAGGGAGAGAGTGGGAGGCGGATAGAAGATGGATAGAGGAGAGGATAGGTGGAGAGGAAACAAACAGGTCGAAGAGGCGGGGATGGAGCCAGTAAAGGTGAGTGTAGGTGGGGAGGTAGGGAGGGGATAGGTCAGTCCAGGGAGGACGGACAGGTCAAGGGGGCGGGATGAGGTTAGTAGGTAGGAGATGGGGGTGCAGCTTGAGGTGGGAGGAGGGGATAGGTGGGAGGAAGGACAGGTTAGGGAGGCGGGGATGAGCTGGGCTGGTTTTGGGATGCGGTAGGGGGAGGGGAGATTTTGAAGCTTGTGAAATCCACATTGATACCATTGGGCTGCAGGGTTCCCAAGCGGAATATGAGGTGCTGTTCCCGCAACCTTCGGGTGGCATCGTTGTGGCACTGCAGGAGGCCCAGGATGGACATGTCATCTGAGGAATGGGAGGGGGAGTTGAAATGGTTCGCGACTGGGAGGTGCAGTTGTTTATTGCGAACCGAGCGTAGGTGTTCCGCAAAGCGGTCCCCGAGTCTCCGCTTGGTTTCCCCGATGTAGAGGAGGCCACATCAGGAACAGCGGATGCAGTATACCACATTAGCAGATGTGCAGGTGAACATCTGTTTGATGTGGAAGGTCTTCTTGGGGCCTGGGATGGGGATGAGGGAGGAGGTATGGGGGCAGGTGTAGCACTTCCTGCGGTTGCAGGGACAAGTGCCAGGTGTGGTGGGGCTGGAGGGGAGTGTGGAGCAGACAAGGAAGTCACGGAGAAAGTGGCCCCTCCAGAAAGCAGATAAGGGTGGGGAGGGAAAAATGTCTTTGGTTGTGGGGTCGGATTGCAGATGGCGGAAGTGTCAGAGGATGATGCGTTGGATCCGGAGGTTGGTGGGGTGGTACATGAGGACAAGGGGGATTCTGTTTTTGTTGTTATTGCGGGGAGGGGATGTGAGGGATGAGTTGCAGGAAATGCGGGAGACACGGTCGAGGGCATTCTCGACCACCGAGGCGGGGGAAGTTGCAGTCCATGAAAAACGAGTACATCTGAGATGTACGGGAGTGAAATGCCTCATCCTGGGAGCAGATGCGGTGGAGGCGAAGGAATTGGGAATAGGGGATGGCATTTTTGCAGGAAGGTGGGTGGGAGGAGGTGTATAATCATCAATGTAACGGATGAAGAGGTGGGGTCGACTGGGGCAGTCAGGTTTGTGGATTTTGGGAAGGAGATAGAAGTGGGCAGTGCGGGGTTGGGGAACGATGAGGTTTGAGGCTGTGGGTGGGAGGTCACCTGAGGTGATGAGATTGTGGATGGTTTGGGAGATGATGGTTTGGTGGTCGGGGGTGGGGTCATGATCAAGGGGGCGGTAGGAGGAGGTGTCGGAGAGTTGGTGTCTGGCCTCGGCGATATAGAGGTCAGTGTGCCATACTACAACTGCGCCTCCCTTGTCCACGGGTTTTATGGTGAGGTTGGGATTGAAAAGTGGAACAATCCCTCTTCCATACCTACACTGGCCCTAAACCCCACCTCTTCCTCCATTACACTGATGACCATATCGGCGCCGCCTCGTGCTCCCACGAGGAGCTCGAACATTTCATCCACTTCACCAACACCTTCCACCCCAACCTTAAGTTCTCCTGGACCATCTCTGATACCTCTCTCTCCTTCCTGGACCTCTCTGTTTCCATCTCTGGCAACCACCTAGAAACCGATATCCATTTCAAGCCCACTGACTCCCACAGCTACCTAGAATACACCTCCTCCCACCCACCTTCCTGCAAAAATGCCATCCCCTATTCCCAACTCCTTTGCCTCCGCCGCATCTGCTCCCAGGATGAAGCATTCCACTCCCGAACATCTCAGATGTCCTCGTTTTTCAAGGACGGCAACTTCCCCCTCTCCATGGTCAAGAACGCCCTTGACCGTGTCTCCTGCATTTCCCGCAACTCATCCCTCACACCCCCTCCCCGCAATAACAACCAAAAAAGAATCCCCCTCGTCCTCACGTACCACCCCACCAATC